AACAGAATCAGGTCGTGCCTGAATGATAGCTTCATTCACCCATTCCCAATAGCAGCCACCTGTGTTAGCAATATAAACAAGCGCAGTGTGTTATTTCTTCTCATCTCCTTCAATTGCATTGTGGAAGAGGTTTGGGGAACAGGCTAATGTGCTTGCAGGTCAGCTGATTCCCTTGCTGCTTTACTTTATTTTATTTTATTTTAGTTTTTATGCGTCTCACTGCTGCCCAAGGGGAGAGGTTTGTTTGAACACAGAGGATAGTAGGTCAACCTCTAGCACATTGGAATTGATCAATCTCCATGGGGAAGCCTGGATCCCCAGGCTCCTGGAGGGAAAGCAGATAAAGCAAAGTGGCTCTATTTCTATGCACCGTGCAATTTTTTTTTAAAGTCTCTGGAGTAATGTGAGAGCTCATTTTCTAGGTCTGATGTTAATAATAAAAATCTATCAACCTGAGACAAAACAAGGTAAATGATTCACTGTTTTAAACATTGACGGGAAAGAAATTAGACTTGTGGTCTCCCAGGAGAGTAATTAAAAAGCTACATCCACTAAGGCCATCAAAAGACAAGACAATTAAGAAGTTCAGCTAGCAGAAGAAGTGAGCAAACATTTTCAAGAGAAACAAGAAGAGAAGGGAAACCTTTTTGACAAAGCAAAAACACTAGCAATTAGCTGCTATATGCAAATGTACTGTAGAGGTACAGTGCATGCATTTTACTCAGGCTTAGTACTATTAGGTACTCTAATTCCTCAGCAACTGATGAACAGCAAAAAAAGCCTTGCTTGCTATTTGTGTTAGATCTAGCTAGTGGCTGAGGAAATGGAAATCCCACTCACAGTTTCTCTTGTTGCCAAAGATCTGTAGGACGAATATATTCCACTTCCTTTTGTCTCCCTGTCTCACTCCTTGAAGATGCTTTTCAGTCTTAGTGTCTCACCTCTCTTTATTGCCTTTGACTGTCTGTCTGTCTTCATCTACTGTACCTCACTCTCTCTGTCTCTTGAGTAATCAGGGTGACCCTGAACTCTGTGTCCTTCACTGCCAAGTATGTCGACAACACAATGCTGTCTCATTCTTAAGTTGGTAAATATAGACCAATGACACCCCTGTGTATACTGAAACGTGTGTACACACACACACACACACACACACACACACACACACACACTGCCAGATTGATTTAGAAAGATCTTTGTGTACAAGCAGCTAAAAGATGAGACAATAGCTCCCTGTACAATGAAACCCCAACAGCTGAAAGTAACAGCTGGAACGGCCTCAGGAGAACAACTGGCTGTGGTAATACTACAAACTGCCACTAAAAGAAATATATATTTATTTCAGCCCTCTCAGCACTGTTCCACCTGGGTACAAATGTTAGAAAATTAAAGGCTAAAGCACTGGGGAGGTAGATGCCCATGGTGAGAGAAGGAAGATCCAAAGAGAACGGGAGAAAGCAAGGAAGAAAGACATGATAGTTGAAAACAAAAGCAAAAAATAATAAGTAGTATTTGAAAAGGAAACAATCTGTCAGATTAACAGTATGACCAGTTAGTCTGTTTTTAAAAGAAAGCAGTTGGTATAATGCAGGCTTCCTGTGTGATTGCTCGTGAATACAGAGCAAAATCTTTCTACTGTTAAAAGGATTGCAATGACTTTTGGTTCAGAAAATAATGATGATGATGCCCACAGGATGAACCCTAATAATTGTCACCAGCATTTCATAATTTACACACATCCTCAATAGCTTAGCATAAACGGCAGTAACATTTATGGCCCTCTGATGATTAATGTACTAGAGTAGCTTCACTTATACTTTCTAGCCCCTCAGTTTGCAATCTGTTTAAAGTAAAATGTTTTAAATCAGCTTTCCTCTGATTGGCTACCCAGTCAGTGTTCACAGAGATGACCATATTAGTGGTATCTGCTTGCAATGACATCAGACAGGGCCAAGAGTTGAAAAAAAAAAGTTTGAAACTTAACCAAAGCAGTCCGAATCCTGAACTTTTGGCTCACAGGAATACTTGTACATATAGTCACCTTATCTGTGGGTGTATGTGTACTTTTAATCTCCTTTTAGTCTTTTGTTTTGCTACTTGGAGAATGATAACACGTTCAAGGACGAAACTAATTTGAAACCTGTTACACAGGATTGTGTTTTTGTGGCTGGCTTTAGTAATTAGTTCAGTAAACACTGGATATCATAGTTTCAAACTTTCCAGAAGTTTCCTTTCATGATTTGACTTCGAGTTGATCCTCTGCAGCACGACTTTTTTTCACATTCTTTCCTGCCTTTCGTTTGTTGTCTTCGCCACTGTTTCGTCTCATTAAATATGGCACTGTATTCCCAAGAGTTTATTGGAACTGTGTCTATTCATGTTGCTCTCAAAACTTTTTATCTCTGGAAACATAAACTTGACTGAATTCCACTTTTTGGACATTAAATCTGCAAACAATTTAAAGGAAATTGACATTTTACTATAAGTGGTACAAGATTTTCTTGTGTCTAGTGGTCATTTGACTCACAGAGACTCAAAGCATTCATCGTTTAAGGCCATAGCAGTGTATAAAAGGTTGAGGAGTTATTTATAAGCTTTTAGTTGCCACACCTGCCTCTGGAATATCAGTGCACAATACAAGCTCAGGTTGCCAGGCTTTCTTTTCTCATACATACATGAGCAGTGACCGTCTGACTAAGAATAACTGCTGAGACAAAGCAGCTGAGGGCCATCTTTATTAGTTCCTCTTTCTCTGAAGGAGTCCTCAGCTTTAAGGTTCACCAGGACCATCTAATGTCAGTGCCGTCTTATATTTTTACCATAACTGCAGAACAAAGAAGAGGCCTTTAACGTGTTTTCTTGGATCCTCAGAGAGGCATGAATGATTTAGCACGTTTGTTACAAAATTGCTGAAGTGCTGTCATGCTCAAAAGCTCGATGGGAGCAGCTTCTGTCTGTTTAGTGCCTAATTTATTTAGGCCACTTATGCAGATCAGTTTGTTTGCATGTTCCCAGAGTAATAGCTCTGGGAACATACAGTACAGTCAATTACATTCAATTACTACACGTGCCAGGTTAAACATGTACGGGAAGCCAAGAGGAAATAAATATTTGCAGCACTTTCAGAATGACTTATGTGTTATTAATCATTAATGCTTATTCACAATTCATGCTTGGACTATACTTTTACTTCTTTGAAGTACGAATAAAAGCCCAAATTCAGGGGGGGGGCTCATGGAAATCATATCATTTCATCTGAAGCTCACAAAGCGAGAGGTTGCATTGACGAGAACTGTTATATCCAAGCTGTTTCTTCTGACTGGTCCAGAATATTTTATATGGATCAGTGGTGGCAAAAGGAAAATTAGGAGAAGCTGTATTAACTGATTTAAAGACAATAATTGATAAGAACCTACAATAAGAGCGAAAACTCAAACAACTTCCCAACAACTGACAACCTGAACGCAACAATAGATTAAAATAACCCAAATTTCTTGACTTATCTGATCACAGTAGAAGACTTGGAGAGAATAAGATACTAGGCATGACACTTGTGAAATGCCTTGAAACTGCAGACTCCTTGCTCTCTACTGCTGCTAAAAAAGTTACTGCAAGCACCAACTAACAGAGAATACAACTAAATAGATCAGCTTCTTGTCACAGATACATGATCCGTCTTGAGTCCTCTAAGAAGGGTGTGATACTCGGCTTGGTGGTGAGTCATCGGCCTTTGTCAACAGGTACCTCATCACAAGCAGACACTTTACAGGTGTGCAGTTGACATTAAAATAAAAGGTGGATGTGGTTTGTGTGACTGAATCACAATGTTGTCTCTAGTTATTATTAGGCAGTGTTTTCAGTTGGACTTGGGAACTTTTTTGAGTAAGACTCTAAAACCTCATATCAGAGAAAGTTCTAGCATACGCCAATCCTGGAGGCCAGGTATTTCTTTCCTTATTTTGCAGTTCATGCTTACAGTAAATCTGGCGTGACTTGAGCCAGAGGCAAGAATATGAAAGGATACGAGACATTTCCTGCATGGCATTACATTTTTTCATGTGGGGTTGTTCATGTTTTGATAAGCAACAATGTCATGTTATTATTTTCTGATAACATATGATGAATTACTCGGTTTTTAATGCATTTAATCTCATTTAACTGAATATCTCCCATCGTCATGTGATACCATCAGTTTGTGTCATCATATTTACCTTTTGCGCCCTTGAGCAAATAGCATAGTATGCCGGGCTTAGTAATGAGAAGTTTAGACACATTACACACCATGCTGACAAGAGGCAATGTGCAAAAATGCACGACACTGTTAGGTTCAGACTGAATGTTCTTCCCAGTGCTCAAAATTAATTTGGTATCAGTTTCAAGACTTTAGTGAGTGTTGTTCCACTGGGAAACTAAATATTACTAAACTTTCTTTGCTATCTTCTCCCCCAGTGGTGATCAGGCCCAGAATAGAACTTAATGGACACCAAAGTCTGCAGGATGATCCATCATTTCCTGGCCTGCCTTGACAGCTGTTTCCATGCCTTTTTCTAATCAAGGGCCCATTACGAGATCATTAGAATGCAAGAGAGGAAAGGAAGGGGGCGAAGTGATTGGTTCCAATTACATGCAGACTTCTATTTATTAAATGACATGGTCTTGACGAGATGTAGGTGCCCTCTACAAGGGGATGGCAGGAAAAAGGACGCCAGTTGTTGTCAGTCATGTTGTTGTTGGATGTATCTTTACTTTTAAAAAGGCTTGTCACCACAGAGCCAAAAGATGATCGTCTCCCCTTTATATTTACTAGTTGGCATTAAGTAGGTAGTTTATTAATGCTAAATAAAGCTTGTTTAGCTTTTAGCTCTTCTGAATTGCCACCCAGATCTAATAAAGAGGTCTGCAGGTCTTGCTTTAGCTGATTGGTGAAGCAGTTTAGTGTATGAAAAGCTGAGAGAGAGATTAATGATGGCGTATCACCTTCCTTTACTGCCTCTCAACAGACTGACAACTTACAAGAGCTGACTGATGATCGGTGCTTTCAAGTTGGTGTTAAATGGTAAGTGGACTTCTGAAATTTTCAGGTATCTGTACTTTGCTCGAGTATTTCTTTCTTTTTCTTTTTCTTTTTTTTTTTCCTCAACTTTTTACTTTTACTTCCTACATAAAAAAACAGTACTTTTTACTCCTTACATTTTCATACTTTAGCTTCGTCTATAGTGTTTATGTTCGGGAGTTAAAGTGGGCAGGAAGCTCCTGGTGACTGTAGGACGTGCTTGAAGTACTTTAGCATTTAGCTAGCTCCACAGAAGAGGAGTGAGCATGAAGCTAGTAACAATTTTAAGTAGCAGGTAATTTCAATTTCAACGTTTCTATCAGCTTAACAAACATCAGCAAACACACAAACTGTTTGTGTGCAGTTTGTTGCTGAGTGTGCTGCTAGCTGAAGGTCCAGCTGCTGTGAGACAGCTGTAGGAAGACAGACACACTGGGGAGGAAGTAGAGAGGTTATATTTAAAGGTAAGAGCTGCTTTTTAAAATGCAAATGGTCAGAGTTGGGTTTACATCAAATGCAGAGATGAATTTGCATTGAAGCGGATGAGCCTTAGATTAATTTACTGAATTGCAGCTTCATACGGTCTTAGTGTAAAGACAGTATAAACAGTATAGTGTCAGAATAGGGGGTGGACATCAGACATCATAGCTTTTAAAACTGTTGACATCGTTTTGAATTCAGTTGTGTAAATCTAATATTAGTATAGCACAAGGTTCATTTACCTTTGTATAAAAATTATTAGTAGGATTCTCCTTCAAGGAGCTACTCTTACTTTCTTACTTTGATTGCATTTCAGAGCCTGTACTTTTTCACTTTTACTTGAGTAAAAACATACGTCAACTTTTAATGGAGTATTTTTAACTCAGGTGTCTGTACTTCTACTTAAGTAAAGAAAGTCTGTACTTTTGCTACCTCTGTTCTTTTCTACTCTACCTGAGCACTCAAAGCACTTTTTAAGCCTAATCTACGTATTACTATTCTTATGACTCACAAGAACTCATATTTTACAAGAATTAAGGTAGCAATTTACTCTGACATAGGGAAATTAATCAGTGTTGTGTTCTTCTTGTATAATCTTTTCTTAAACATCAGATTTTGTCTTTGATGTTTAAGGAACGTAAATAACTGATTTAGCCAATAAACAAATGAGCTCTGTGTGAGTAGAGTTTAAAGTTATATTAATCAAAAATACTAATAGAAAAGTGTCTTTATCCAGTAACACAATCCTATCACTGCATATATATATATATAGATATATAGAAATAACAAATGGTATACAGTGTACATTATAAAAGTACAGGTCATCGAGAATTAATACATAATCGGTAACTGATCAATTCAGGCAAAAACAAAACATCCAGTCACTAGGGAACAAACTGTATTCCCTCACCAGTTGGTAAGTGCCTGCTGGAGTTCAATGGCTTTCCTTAGATGGTTCCACACCAGAAACTACCTTGTGATTACTTTGGTCACTAGCAAACTGATGTGGTTATTCATAGTGTGCCTTTAAGATACCATAAAGTCTGTAAACAGTTGCCCAATGGTTGGCAAGCTGTGGTGAAACTTGAAAAAGTGCAGCGCAAAAAGGTAAACGGGGAATGTTTGCCTTCAGAGTAAATGTTGTGCCTTACTGCTGCAACCGAGAAATGTTACCAAAAAAAAGTACATCTTTTAGTTTGAGGGCAAAACTTTTCCATTTATGGTTTAAGTTGGCTTCTTCCATGCTAACCATTGGCGAGTGCAGCCATCTACTTGCATGCAAAGTTTTTTGGTGCAGCACAGTATACCTCTCTCAACCAATTTCACCTAATAACTGCCACAACTCATTTTTCTCTAACAATCTGTGGTTGCTTGGTATGTCTGACAACCACTCGCTGGTATGCTTACTGGTCTCTAGGCCTGTGTAACTTAGGCCCAATGCAAAATGGCAAAGATCAATTTAATTCAGCTAAATGGACTTTTATTTGGGTTCAAAGAGCTTCACAGGCATAAAAAAAATCACTTATTAAAGCAGAAATTTATACAAACATAAAAACCATCAGAAATACATACCTACAGAAGCGCACACGTAGACATGTAAATACATAGTCAAACATAAAATCATGTCAAGCACAGAAAAATATGAAAACAATCTTGGAAGAAACAAAAGCAGAAGGTCAATATGATATTGATGAAAAATATATCGATCAGCCCTGCATCTACCAGACTTTTAAATGTGGCTGAACCCAGTTGCTATAGCTGTTGTTATTAATTGTATGGACTGTTTAAATGCCAGATTAAAAGTTTCTTGTTTCAGAGTTTGGGGCTATACTTTAGGAAGGCTGCATCCCCAATCCCCAAGAATATCAAGCTATTTATAGCATTATCTTTGTTAAACATCTTGTTTCCCCTCATTCATTTTCATACTATTAACACACATTGCTTTATGTCTTATATCTGTAAGTAACTGGCAAGTCATACACACTCTCTTGTGTAAAAAGACAAACTATTTTGCAGTCTTTTATTAGCTGAAAGTTTACTTTCTCTCTCTATTATCTTATGAGGATAATGAGAACCTTTAATGAAGGACCTTGAAGATCAGAGTGCAGAGTTATTAGCTATGAGGCATGGATGCATTTCAATAGACCCAATTAACTCTCTGCACCTTATCAGAAAAGACATAATTAGAAAACAGATGGCTGCATCTGAGATTGGAGGGATGTTGATAGTTTTATGACGAGACCCCCAAACCTATAGCTGTTATGTACGGAGCCCTGCAGGGGACATGGGAGAAAAAATTAAGACTGACTTTTGCGAGATCTCGCAAAACAAACTCGGGATCTCGCAAAACTTTTGCGAGATCTTGCAAAAGTTGAATTCCAACAATGGCGGCAGCTACTTAGTTGTAATATTACTCTTTCTGGGTCACAAAATACACTTTTAAGATATTTTGAGGCGTGAATGTAGTTGTGTAAACGTCAGATACCTGCTCGGTTTGCAAAAGTGCTCCGACGTTTTCGGAGATCTGACACCCACCATCTCGAAGCTAACGGGAGGTCGAGACCAACTACAGCCGGGAGGAACACCGCTTTCCCGGCACATCGTGCCTCGACCTCCCGGTTGGCTTCGAGCTGGCGGCCTCCAAAGAATGCGGCTAAAACTTTTGTGAGATCTCGCAAAACTTTTGCGAGATCCCGAGTTTGTTTTGCGAGATCTCGCAAAAGTTTGTCTTCATTTTTTTTTCTCCCATGTCCCCTGCGGGGCTCCGTAGTTATGTTCTCTGAGCATCTTCAAATATATTTTCTTCAAATAAGTTTTTCCTCTTTTTGTTGTATCTCTCCAAACTAGAATTTTGCATTGCCTGGTTATACAAAAGATAAATTAGCTGAACATGACCCAAAATAACACTCATAAAGACTGCTTCGCAAACGAAATATCACAGGAGCTATTAAATATTGAGATCTCTATTAAATACTTCAACAAGGACGTTTAAGGTCATAAATTGAGCATTTTTTGAAAAAAAAATTTTTTAACGCTAAGCTAAGCATTATCGTAACTGTGAAGGCGGGTGGGGCAGCATGAACACCAAGTTTGTGAATGCAATAACTAAGAGACAACACAGGATTTTGAAACAAATACCATCGATGAAACTACTAAAGATTTTGGGTGCATTTGAATCCCAGTGACCTTGAGGTCAAATTTTTTTTGAAATGTTATGAACATGATAGCTCAAGAACGAGGGGAAGTAGGACTTTCAAATTCATGCTATAGGTGCATTTACTACAAATCTCAGTCAAGTTGCAATCCCAGTAACCTGGACATCAAGGTCAGAGGTCAACGTTTCAGAAAATCCCTAGGATTTTCAAATTTAAACCATACAGTAGGTGCTTTTATTAGGAGGCTGAGGGGGAGCACTGGCATTTTTTTTAGAATTAACAATATTGTAATTTATATGGAAAACGATAAGAAAAGAATTGTAATCAAGGTGTTTGTTTCTGTAAATACAATCAGCCTTTGAGTTTTCTGGCAATAATTGAAATGGGCAGTTATTTATGCAACTGTCTAACATGGTTGCCTGCGTGTTGTCTTAACTTAAGTGGCCCAGGTAGTCAGTCTGTCAGTATATTCATTGATCCAGGGGAGGCACACTCCCTCAACACTGTCTGACACTCATTGGGTGCAGAAGCATTGGGTTCATCCAAACTGCTATTCCCCATTGCAGGTTCTTTTATAGCTGTAAGACTCGAGGGTTTGCCCTGAGATCTCCTATTCAATCTTGTCAAGGCTTGAAAGTGGAGAAAGACGGCTTTCTGACAGACAAACTACTGCTTGTTACTGCTCCTAGTTTCTTTTGTACATCTGTCCAAAGAGGAGCCAGATGGGGAGATGCGGGGCACGAGCTTGAAAGCTTGACAATATGCTTTATGCCATGACTTTCTAAACACAACAGATAGAAAAACCCTAATTTCTCAAAGACTTTTTGAAACACCACGGCTACAGTTTAAAATCCTCTTGTTTGCTTTCCTCACTTCTCCACAGCACAGTTTGTTCTCATGTAGGTTGTTGTCCTACTTTCCTTCCTTTTTCTTTTCTGGGTGTTACCCAGTTTCTTTGTCTCTCGACTACCCACTTACTCTTACACACAAGATCCTTTCACATACATTTCATTGTTGTCGGTCTACTTTAGTTTCTTTCTTTCTTTCTTTTTTAATTTTGTTGGAGCAATCTGTTACTCCACTTATTAATCAACCAAAGAAACGGAAAGAGTTTTGAAATATTTGCAAGCCTTGCTCACCTTTGTACGCCCTAACTGGAAAACTGCGATTGTTTTTAATTATTTGTTCCCTATGTAACAACATCCCTAAGGAAATTATGTAAATTTGTAAACCTGAACCTTACTTAGAGTTTCAATCTAAATTATCTGACTTTTGATTTAATTTAGTGCTCAGTTCAGATAACATACTCATAGTACGTGATTTTAAGATCCATGTAAATGCTGAAAACACTCAACACTGCATTTAATCTATTATTAGACTCAGTTGGCTTCTCTCAAAATGTAAATGAGCTCACCCACCACTTTAAATAAGCCCTGGATTTTTTTCTTAAACTGAACATTTAGCAGTATTACCTGAAAACCCTCTTTTGTCTGATCATTTCTTAATAACACAGCAGTGGGGAATAAATCTCATTGCAGTAGATGTCTTACTGAAAATGCTGTAACTAATGTATGTAATTCCTTTACTTTTATCTTCAATGCCGTGTGCCAGTAGAGTGCAGAGCAGCTACCTAAACTCTACTCGCACAGAGGTCAATTATCTTGTTAACAGTGTTAAATCATCACTTCATCCAACTCTGGATACTGTGGTTTCTCTGAAAAAGAAAGCCTTAAATCAGAAGACCCTTAAAGCAGAGAACCTTTAGTCTGGAGAGGAAATAGCATTGCACTAATGTAAAATATCTTTGTTTAGCCTGGAAAAAGAATGTGTTGGCCTATATAAAGCCCTATGTAAAGCTAGGACTTACTGTTCATTAGTGTTTGGATGGAAATTGGAACAACCTCAGGTTTTCAGCACTGTAGCCAGTCAGCAAGGCTGACAAAGAGTCAAAACTCTGTTGACCCAAGCATTCCTTTAAAGCGAACTAGTAATGACTTCATGAATCTCTTTTCCAAATAAAAATTAATCCAGAACATAAAAAAATATTCATAATGAGCAAGCAACTTTGAATACTACAGATATTTATTAAGGCTCTCCGATTGATCTTTCTGAGTTAACTTTAGTAATCACTTTCAGCAGCTAGATTCTATTCTGACAAGACTGCGCAGCGTAGCTCTACCATTAATTAACACTTTGATCTTGAATATCATCAATCTATCTCTCAACGCCATAAGTCTTTAAGGTTGTGGTAATGAAATCATTACTTAACAAGGCATTGCTTAACCTAGATTTCTTAGCTAATTCTTAGCTAATTTCAAAAGTTCTTGAAAGCATAGTTGTAAAATATTTATAGTAGTATAGTAGTCATATTTACTCCTCTGCAGAATTGAATAATATCTGTCTAGTAGATTACAGTTTGTTCATGCAAATGGGGAGAATTCCTTACACATTAAGGTTAATTATGGATGCTTCCCTTAAGCTTCTCTTGCTTGGGTCTCTGTTAAATCCAGAATCAAATTAAAAATCCTTTCCCTCACATACTAGGTTTTGAAATCTAATCACCCATCTAATTTTAAAGACCTCGTGGTACCATATCACCCCAGTAGATCACTTTGCTCTCAGACTGCTGGCTTGCTTGTGATTCCCAGGACGATTAATAGTAGAGGGGGGTAGAGCATTCAGCTTTCAGGCCTCTCTTCTGAGGAACCAGCTTCCAGTTTAGCTTCAGGAGAAAGACACTCTTTACTTTTAAGATTAGGCTATACCTTACATTTTTGATAAATCTTATAGTAAGGGCTTGATAAAGTGAGCCTGAACTCTCCCTTAGTTTTGCCTGGGTCAAAACTAAGGGGGCTGCTATGATGCATTGATCATTTCTTCATCGCTACCTCTTTTAACTCTTTGTGTTTTTACACCACACTGCATTTAATCATTAGTAGTTATTAAACTCTCTTCCGCAGCATGTTTTTGTCCTGTCTCCCTTCCCTAAACACCAACCAATCATGGCAGATAGCCGCCCCTGCTTGATGCTTTTTCTGCTGGAGTTTTCTTCCTGTTAAAACACTACACTGTCGCGAAGTGCTTGCACATAGAGGGTCATCTGATTGTTGGGGTTTTCTTTGTATTATTGTAGTGTCTTTATCTTACAATATAAATCACTTTGAGGGACTATTATTGTGATTGGTGCTATATAAATAAAACTGAATAAAATTGAACTGCTTTTCAGCTCCAGCACTCTACTAATGTTAAACAATATCTACTTTTCCCTTTATGTTTCAGACCTATTCTCTCTTCAAGAACTGATGAACCCATTCATTTATATGTAAAGGGCAGAGCAGGAGCCCCATGTTCATTCAGACGCTTGTATTTGGATGAAGAGAGTTGCAGAACACCCAAGGGCTGTGAACTCTATTGCACAAAATACTTTGTGTCTACTTGTTTGCACAGAACAGCGAAGCAAAATTGAACCTTAGCTATCAGCATCATCCACTAATGCAGGAGTTATATTGTTCCTTTAAAAATAAAGTAAAACACAGTACTAGTTTTATAAAAGATACAAGATAAACAAAAAAGCCCTCATGGGGAAGCTGTCTGGACAACCTGGCATTATCTTTGACTTTTAAAACCAATAATCTGCTGCACAATCTGTCACATTAGACGGTATCACTTCTTTGTTTCCATGTAGCTGTCTAGGTGCTTTACTTCTGTGTCACACATTTCCAGGAGCTTTGGATTTCAAGTAATTTCTACCAGGCAGCATGGTCATAAATCTAAGCTTCTGACATGTTCATAATGTAAGTTTGTGACGATATCGTGTCTCAGGATGTATTGATTTAATTGTGTGGTTATTTTTCATACTGTGTGCGTGCGTTTGTGTATGTGTGTGTGTGTGTTTGTAAAAAAATTTTGTCACTGCCCTACAAAGTGCACTCTGCAAATTGTGTTTCCATGATATATGAAGCTGCTCCTTTTGTTATATTGAGGGCATTGTGTTTTTGTTACTGATGCAACTTTGAAATTAGATTTGCCACTACTAATTTGGCTTTGAAACCTGTATATTACATTGAATGATTTATCATATCTTGACATTACCTTCAAAATATAATTAATTTTATTTTGTTTATTTTGTCCACTTAAGCCGCCCCCCCCCCCCCCCCCCCCACTGCCCCCCAAAAAAAGAAGAAAAAGGAAAAAGTCATAGTACAGCGGCGTATAGTAGTTACAATGAATCTGTTATTCTGATTAGATATTTAAGGCTTGTTTTGAGTGAAGCATTGCATATCACTTACTTTTTTCTTTGTTTCCTGCTTATAGGTCAGCTTTTCATTGGAAAATATCTTATTAGCATATCTGGTAACAGTTGTATAACTAAGCTAACAATGGCCATTAAATCTGAGGTGCGCACAAAAGCTTATACTGTATCATGTCTTGAAGTTAGCTACACTTTTACCCTTTTCAGTTTGAATAGTGAATGGAAGGATCATTTTCTCTCCTAGCTACTCATCATCATCATCAACTTTATTTATAAAGCACTTTAAAACAACCACAGCTGACACAAAGTGCTGTACATTGGAACTGTAAAATAAAATTACATGAGATATAAATAAAAAACAAATAAAAGAAGAGTGAAATCATTAATTAAATAACTACTGCATTAAAAAAGAAACTAAGTCTCACTGAGGTTAAAAGCCAAGGAATAAAAGTGGGTTTTAAGACGTGATTTAAAAGTGGACAGTGAAGGGGCCTCTCTAACATGCATGGGCAAATTATTCCATAATTTTGGAGCCACAATAGAGAAGGCCCTGTCCCCTCTGAGCTTCCTCCTGGATCTCGGTACCTCCAGGAGCAGCTGGTCAGCTGACCTGAGAGACCGACAGGGTATGTGGGGATGAAGAAGCTCAGAGAGGTAAGGCGGGGCAAGACTGTGTAGACATTTAAAAACAAACATAAGAATTTTAAAATTAACTCTAAAAGACACAGGCAGCCAGTGCAGAGAGGCCAGCACGGGGGTTATATGCTCTCTTTTTCGAGTTCCTGTTAGGAGTCGTGCAGCCGCATTTTGAACCAGCTGCAGACGTGAGAGCAATGACTGACTGACCCCCACATAAAGTGCGTTACAGTAGTCCAGGCGGGAAGAAATAAAAGCATGGATCACTGTTTCAAGGTGCTGCCTCGAAAGAAAAGATTTTAGTCTTGCCAGTCGCCTTAAATGATAAAAACTGGACTTCACCACTGCTCTGATTTGGTTGTCCAATTTAAAATCACTGTCCAACTTAAAACCAAGGTCAGTAACAACAGATTTAAAATAGACTTCCAGGGATCCTAAAACAACAGAGGAGGACTCACAGGGACCACTGGGTCCAAACACCAACACTTTTTCTTTTTATTAAAATTTAAAAAGTTTCGAGCCAACCAAGCTTTAATGTCATCTAGACATGTCAAGAGAGGTTTTATGGAGATGGCATCCTTGCGTTTTAGTGTCAAATAAATTTGGCAGTCATCGGCATAACAGTGAAATGAGATCCCATGCCTTCTAAGGATAGAACCCAGAGGCAGTAGATACAGAGAAAAGAGCAGTGGCCCTAAAATTGAGCCCTGTGGGACACCACATGACAGAGGAGCAGAAGACGATTCGTAACCGAGAAGGCTGACAGAGAAAGTTCTATCTGACAAATAAGACCTATACCAATTGAGTGCAGTGCCACCAATACCCACTACATCATGTAATCGAGAAATTAAAATATTGTGGTCTACTGTGTCAAAGGCAGCAGTTAGGTCAAGCAAGACAAGAACAACATGGTTACCAGAATCACATGCCAGAAGGATGTCATTAAAAACCCTTAGTAATGCAGATTCTGTGCTGTGAAGGGTTTTAAAACCTGACTGAAAAACCTCAAAGATTCCATTTTCATCTAGAAAATCTTTCAGTTGACTAAAAACAATTTTCTCTAAAACCTTGGAGACTAAAGGCAGCTTGGAAATAGGCCTATAGTTCGCTAAAACTGTGTGATCAAGGCCAGGTTTCTTAAGCAGTGGCTGTACTACTGCATGTTTGAAATTTGCAGGAACCACACCAGAAGACAGACTGCTGTTAATAATGTCAAGGACATACTGTTGTATACTAGGAAAAATTTCTTTAAAGAATTGTGGAGGGACAGGATCCCGTGGGGAACCTGTGGGCTTAATATGGCGAACCACATTCTCTAAAGAGGAGAGCGTCACAAGCTCAAACTGAGTGAAAACAGCAGCACAAGGGACAGAGACAGAGGGGTCAGAGTCAGGAGCTGTGATAAGAGCCCTGATGGTGACAACCTTTTCAATAAAAAAGTTCAGAAAATCATTGCAAATCTCAGGAGAAACTTCCAAACAGACATTCAAAGGAGTATTAAGAACAGTGTCAATGGTCCTAAATAACACACGTGGGTTATGACAGTTGGAAGAAATAATATTTGCAAAATATTCCCTTTTTGCCTCTTTAACAGTGTTCTGGTAGCGATGCCAGCAGTCTTTGAGAATTTGAAATGATACATGCAGTTTATCCTTTTTCCACCTCCGTTCTGCTCGACAACATTCCCTCTTAACAGCACGACTGCTCTTATTAAACCAAGGCTCAGGTTTAGCCTTAAGCTGCCTGGTTTTTAAAGGAGCCACAGAGTCCATGATTTTTTGACAGCAAGAATTAAACCAGGAATGTAGGTCTTCTGTGTCAGAGGAAACAAAGTCAGAAGGCCCGCCGAGCTGATTAAAAGCAGCAGAAAACTGCGCAGCAGTGGCGGGGTTAATAACCCGACAGCACCGAGTAGCAGCGCCAGGTTTAACTGCGGTATATGTCAAACCAACGTTGAATAACACAGGCATATGATCTGAGAGTGCACAGTCACAAATCTCCAAGTCAGTGACAGGCAGACCATATGACAGAACAAGGTCCAGTGTGTGTCCGTGCTCATGTGTAGGGCCACGTACGGACTGTACCAGGCTAAAAGAGTCAATAAGGCTTAAAAAGTCCTTTACCAGTGGCTTATCAGGACAGCATACATGTATATTAAAATCTCCAACAATAAGAACACTATCATAGTTGGGCATAATCCCAGCTAAAAAATCAGAAAAGTCGTTTATGAAGTTCTTATTGTATTTCGGGGGGCGATAGATGACAGCGCAGAAAATCGGGTTTGTACGACTCACCTCAAATGAGGTAAGTTCAAAGCTGGAGAACGAAGGCTGTAGAAAACACTGCTTACATTTAAAATCCTTTTTGTAAACAGTCACTGTGCCTCCACCTCTGCCTGACGTCCGTGGCGAGTTAAAATAGCAACAATCCACAGGTAAAAGTTCAGATAGAACACTGGACTCACCAACACTCAGCCACGTCTCAGTCACACACAGAAAATCCAGATCACGGGAACTGAAGAAGTCCCGAAGAATAAAAGTTTTGTTTAAAAGTGATCTGGCGTTCACCAGGCCAATCCTAGCTGGAGCTGGAGTTGGCGCTCGGGGTTCAGGAGGTCCAGAAACCCGCCGCAGCGATCTCAGATTCCGATAATGTTGACAGCGGAGGTTTAGCCTGGGAGGGCATGGGCAGCGAGGCCGAGGAGCATCATCATCAAAGCCGACCACAGGCACCAAACAGGTATCAACAGGATCCAGAAAACGCCGAGACGCAAACAGCCTTGGCAAGAATCCATGCACTGGTCGGAAAACAGCAGAATAATTCTTTAGGTAAACCTTTAGCTTCACCAGGCGACCGCTTCGTTTACCCCGGCGACGAGGACGCTTTCGCCGGGAAGGTAGCGTGGGAACCCGGTACAGGTAACCCGGGGTTTCCGATGCAAATGGGGGCAGGGGTTGCTGCCCACCAGCTCCAAAGGACACAATATTTTGGACCACAGGTTTGAGGTCCAATAGTGTCTGGCCCAAACAAAACAAAAAACCCAAACAAAACAATGGACTCTCATTTTAGGCTACAGATACAGTTGCCAACAATGCTGTGTATTTTTTGTATATAAGCTCAAATCACAATCAATTGGGTCAGCCCTTAGATTCTTTAGGCTATAATTTAAACTACCCCCTCTGAGCGTGCCTTCTAACCATTTAACCATTTAATGACATTTCTATTCTCAGTGTGCAGTCTGTTGCTAAATCAGTGCCACTTGTGATTTTCAACATAACAACTGTTTTTTTTAAACTGTTAAGCACGAGACTTTTACAGCATGTTCACCCAGGCAGAAGTAGAAAAACAAAGCTACTTTATCATCATTAGTTGACTGTAAACATGCACTTAGCAACAGGCGGTTGAGTTGAACTTTGGATTCTTTGCACCGTCCACATCACCTCTTTATTACGTGACGAGGTCAATGTGTACGGCATGTTGCAAGAACTTTCAGTATGTTACAAAACAGATGCAAATTTATTTCGTTGGCATGGTTTTTTCACATAAGCACTGTCTAACCAATATTTTGGTTAGTGAATGCCCATTAATCAAAACATTTCTTAGACATTTCTTCAGAATATGTTCAGAGTTTTCCCAATCAAGCTTGCATACAGAACTGTGTCTCTGCTACACTCACACTGCAACAGTTTCTAAGGAAGTTCTCCAGTATATAGACATTTTAATAATTTCCAGTAATAACTCAAAACTGAAAATGACACTTTCACAAATTTTACTGTAGAACATGTTACTCAATGGTTGTTATTAAACTCTTATCTCTTAATGCTACTCAGACTTGCAAAGATGAACTTCCAACATAAACAGTAAGTGGAAATTTACAAAGTGTAAATAAAGAACACAGACAGATTATATATCATCTGTTATAAAACAGACGTCTAAAATGTGCTGTACAAAGTTCATTTGTGACTCACATCACATGGTTTCAACACACCTGACATTATTACTTTATAGGTGTATTTAAAAGTCTGCACTGACGCTATTAAAAGCCTCAGTGTTATCTACATGGCGTGCGTGGAAACCAACGCCACCTTCTAATATATGTGATACCGTCTGTTTCCTTCTGCTGGAAGAACAGCAAACATTGAGTTCGTAAACATTGCGATGAAAAAAACCATTTCTTTTTATATACATAAATGTAGCCATTTCATGAATTGTAAATCTGTTAACA